CACAATAATTCATCGTTGATTTCTATAGCAATTTCGTCACTAATTAACCGTTCTCTAAAACACCTAAAAAGATTTTGACACTACAAATAAGTCTCGTCACTCGATAAACCATCGTCAAACCATTTTTGTTTTGTCTCTAAATCCCATAAATACTATTTGATTGTTATTTATTTGTTATTTAGTGATAGATTATAATTTGTTGTTAGAATTCGTCACTAAATTCCGGTTTTGTTGTAGTGATACCTTCTAATTAATTAACAAAAAACACACTTTAACATTTAGTTACTTGATTGGAAAAATTATTAATATAATAATTTTTTTTTTACATATAAATATGAGAACCAAAAATCATGTAATTTAAGAACATATTTATAAAAAATATATATAATTAAGGATAAAATAACTTTTTTTTAACAAATCGTAGGAACTAAAATGAAAATATGTGGCAAACTATTTTTTAACCGGTATGAACCCGCAGTACCCGATATGGGTGGAATATATTTTGGATAAAGATTGAGAGAGTAATTTCTTAATAAATACGTATCTGATAGTTTTTAACAGAATATAATATGTAAACCATGTGTAGTTACTGGATGCCATGGAAGGACCTATTCCTATTTCGGCTCTATTAATTTTTCTTGTAGCTTGATTTCTTTTTAAATAATCCGTACTTATTCATTCCTATCCTTACAAAATATAGGATAGTTTTAACAGAATAAAATATGTACAAGAAGAGGTGGAAGATAGGGACATAGTTGGCAATCTAATGTAACCCTATTGCTCTTTCCTCGTACCTTAAATTCTCCTAACATTTATCTTGAATCTCATTAGTTGTAGGAAAACTAATCACGGAGTTTACCTGGTCCAATCTCTGGACGGTGATCCGCTGGACAAACAGCAGAGTAAAATATACAAATAAAATAACAAAACCCCTTTCAAGTGGAGCCATTGCCTGAGATTGGGATACGTGTTAAATAAGCACCAACTTTTTAGGTAAATATAACTTAGTTCCTGTATTTGTGATGATTTTGCACCTTAGTCCTTTTTTCGAAAAGCATATATTGGTCCCTGATCAAAGTTGATCATTACTATTTATTTTTTTATAAAATTTTAAAACTTCCTTTTTAAATGTACTTTTAATTTTATAAGATTGATTTTTTTTTAATTATAAATGAAGGATATTTAACGCCAAAAAAGGAAAAAAAAACAAATTAATTGTGATGAAAAACCAACACAAGGATCAAGTTATGTTCAAATAAGAAAACATAGGGACTTAAAATCGGACTTTGTAAAAAAAAATGATTAACTTATTTCATAAAAAAGTACAGGGATCGAATGATAATCGACTCCAAATTTTAAATTTTTAAACTGCCTGCCTGTTAGCTTTGACAGTTTAGAGTAAATTATAAATTAGTCCTTCTAGTTTAGAAAAATAAATAAATTAATTCTTTTAAAAAATAATTATTTAGTCCTTATATTTTTAAATTTTCTTCTAACTTAATCTCGTTTGCTCTTTTTTAATTTATTTTAACTTATTTCAATATTTCATGCATAGTCTCATTAGGTGAATGTAGGCACTAAAAAAAATAATAAATAAAGGTTGAGTACCAAAAATCTAGTTTTCGAGTACCAAATGTGTCTCTTCTTCTTTTACTTAGATCTATCTCTTTTTTATTATAAATAAATTTTATGTATTTCTTGTGCTTTCACAAACTTTATATATAATCTCTCAAAATTTCTTTTTAAATATTCAAAGTCATATAATTCTAAATTTTAAGAACATCAATAGTTATATGCATTCACATCTTCTTGTTATTATACTAATTGCTCAAACAATATTAACAATGCATTCCTTTTTTATTTTAATTCATATTTTACTTATCATCTCTATCATTATTATCATCGTTACCAAAAGTATTGTATCTTCAACTCTCAAACAAAAAAACATGATCACTAAACTTATTCATGTTAATTCTATCCCTTTTCAGCCTATTATAAAAAGTTTAACAAATTATTGGTCATAAAAAACTTATGTCACCTGTGATATGTTGGTCAATCTTTTTCCCTAGATGGATGAAACAAATTTTTTTCTTTGTAAATTTCTCCATTGGCTAACCATTTATTCCACAAATGCAAATCATAATTGGACCTTATATATCTTTTGTTTTTTCTACATTCAATCTTAATTAGACCTTATATATATTTAGACTAAATGATATAATGTTAAATTTTTTTGGACAAGTAAAAAGGGTTTAGAATTTTCAAAAAGTAATTTTTTACTAATATAGAGTAATAAATTTTTTTTTGAAAAGTAGAAAATGCCATGAGCATGATATAAAAATATTTATTAGTAATGCAATAAAATGGAAATTGTTGGACTAATTTCTTGATCTCGAGGCAATAAATTTTTTGAAAAAATTATATTTTTAGTGCCCAATCTTAAATTCATTTTCTATTTCAATCTCTAACCTTATTTTTATTTTATTTTTCTATTTGAGTGTCAACAATCACCCGAAAGGACGAATTATTAACATGTCTAAGATTTATCGCCACTTGGTATTTTGATTGTCACATGGCAATTAATTCTTAACATGTCGGCAATTCATAATCTCAAGTGACTAGAAGCACCAAAATGAAAAAAATAAAAAAAAAAATCAAAGGTTAGGTGGCAAAACAAAAGAAATTACAAATAGGGTAGAAAAAAAATCAAGAGTTCAACAACAAAAATGTCACTTTTTCGATTTCTAACTATTACTTCGCCTTTAAAAAGATTCAATAATTGGTATTTTGAGTTGATGTTTTGCACACGTGTTGAAAAAATTCTAATTCATTTTTTGAAAAAAAAAATCTCTAAATTCTTTAAGTTTGAAAAGGAATTTTTTTCCGAACATTAAAAATATTAAAATTGAGAACAATAAAAAATAACTCGGAATGATCTTAATTTTTTTTTTCTTTTTGAAGAATTTCAGATAAATCCTAGTGAATGATTTCCATCATGAAACTATTTATGTGACATTATTTTGACTTAAAACTAAAGAATGGACTAAATTTTTTAAAAAAATCAAGGTAAAACCAAAAATTAAAAGTTTAGGTATTGATTTTTAAATAGATTAAAGTTTGGTAAAGCTTTGACCTATTAACTCGAATAGAATAATGCATACATTGTTAAATCCAAGAAAAAACTAATGAGAAAATTAATGTTGATTTGAAAAGACTTGTATTGAGTTCAATCGAGATGAGCAACTAGGATGACAATTTGTAAGTGTCTCGTCCAATAAATACTTATTAAATATATCCAATGTGTAGTGTTAATATAATAAATTAAAAAAAAAATTGTACATATAAATATGAGAACAAAAAATCTTCTAAGTTAAGAACTTATTTTTAAAACTATATAAAATTAAGGATCAAAATAACTTTTTTTTACAAATGGTAGGAGCTAAAATAAATATATATGGCAAACTATTTTTTAACCCGTATGAACCCGCATCAAATGTACTTCTGTGGGTGGAATATATTTTAGATAAAGATTGAGAGAATAATTTCTTAATTAGTACGTGTCTGATAGTTTTTAACGGAATAAAATATGCAATCAATTTAAATAATCTATACTTGTTCATTACTATCCATAAAAAAATATATGATTAATTTAATAAATCAGATATATATTCCATTACCAACCCTAGAAACAAATACATGCATGGACTCTTAATACGAGGTGGAACATTGTTGGCAATCTAATCTAACCCTCTTGCTCTTTCCTCATGATTCCTTCAATTCTCCTATATAATATTTATCTTGAATCTCATTTGTTGTTGGAAAACTAATCACGGAATTTGACCTGGTCAAATCCGTGATTAGTTGTTGGAAACCTAATCCGGAATTCAATTCTTTTTTGTACTTCTCCTAAATCCAGGACGGTGATATTCCGCCGGTCAGCAACAGCAATAAAATAACAATACCCTTTTCAAGTGCTGCCGTTGCCTGAGATTGGGATACATGCATATTACGAAAGCACCAATTTTTTAAGTAAATATAACTTAGTTCCTGTGCATTTGTGATGATTTCATATGTTAGCCCTTTTATTTTTGGAAAGCATATGTTAGTCCCTGATCCAAGTTGATCATTAATTTTTTTTTTTTGAAAATTTTAAAATGTAGTTTTTAAATGTACTTTTGATTTCATAAGATTGAAAATTTTTTATGTAAATGAAGGATATTTAAAGCCAAAAAAAAAAAAACAAATTAATTGTGATGAAAAACAAACACAAGAATCAAGTTACCATCAAATAAGAAAACATAAGGACTTAAAATAAGATTTTGTAAAAAAAATGATTAACTTATTTCATAAAACAAAATACAGGGATGGAATAATAATCGGCTCCAAATTTTATATTATTAAACTGCCTACCGTTAGGTTTGATAGTTTAGAGTAAATATTAGTCCTTCTAGATTAGAAAAATAAATTAATTAATCATTTGTGTTTTAAGAACTAATTATTTAGTTTTTGTATTTTTAAATTTTTTTCAACTTAATCTCTTTTCTTCTTTTTTAATTTTTAATTTTAAGAAATAGAAAAGTGAAAAAATAAGTAAAAACAAAATTAAAAAATTAATGAGAAAAGATAATATTTTATGAAATAAAACAATATTAAATTAATTATACTTACACCGACCCATAAGCTAAAAAATTAATTTTTAAACAAAAAAAGACATTCATTTCTAAAAAGGACTGATTTATAATTTACCCTGTTACTTTAGGATTGAACCATTCAGGAAAAAGATTTCCTCTGCAGGCTTTACGTCACTTTCATTTTGTTTAGTTTTTGACTTTTGCCATTCTGATTAGACAACGTATCTGAATTCTTCTTTACGCTACCAAGCAGACAACCCTGCTTATATATATATATGTGTATGCAGAAGCACAAGCACGTACAGAAAAGGAATTGCATTATCTAGCATGGGAATTTCTTCACTTTGTAAAGTTCTATTTCTTTTACAGCTGAACTTGCTACCTCTCTTTGTATCTTCTGATACAAAAAATGTTCTGAAAGAGAGTTCAGATTCTTCTCCATTACCTGCCAACTTTCTCTTTGGGACTGCCTCTTCTTCTTATCAGGTTTTTCACCTCTACCATTCTGCTCTTTCCCTTACATTTCACTGATCATAACTCTAAGGCTTTCTTTCGTCTTCCATTTTGTAGTTTGAAGGAGCTTACCTGAGTGATGGTAAAGGTTTGAACAACTGGGATGCTCATGCCCATAAACCAGGTAAGAACTTACTTTCTTCTTATCCAAGAAACTAAAAATCGTCAAGTTTTCTTCAAAGCAATTTTACTACTTTTAAGCAGGATTTAGACCTTTCTGTTTCTTATTGTAGGCAACATACTTGATAGAACCAATGGAGATGTCGCCGTGGACCAATATCATCGGTATCTGGTACTGACAATATTATCAATCTCTATGGTCTCTCCTGTTTCTTATCCTCTGTGTTTGGACAACATATTCGATATCTCTATCATAAAGTCCATGTTTCAGCTTTCTTCTAAAATCAGAAACTATTAAAAAAAATGCTACCCACAATCACAACATTATCGTGATAAAAAATTTAAAATAAAATAAAATAAAAACAACTACAACATTCATAATTTAATTATAAAATATTGTAGATGCAGATTCAACAATCAAATGGCACTGTTTTCTGAAAAAAAAAATAGTATATTTTTTATTTCTCTCTTAAGATAACTTCTTTTTTTAAAAGATTTAATTTTTTGTTTTTTTAATCTGATATTTTGCACATATGTTGAAAAAAATTAAATCCATTTTTTTTAAAAAAAAAAAGTCTAGAATTTTTTAAATTTAAAATGTATATTTTTTATTTTCTGAATATTAAAAAGATAAAAAAATCAGAAAATAAAAAAAATAATTCAAAATATCCTAATTTTCTACTTTACATTAAGAAAATAAATAAAATTCACAATTTTTCATTTAACAATAAAAAGTGTCAATTGACCGGCTTATACGTCAATTGAAACTAAGTTTTTTTAGACCAACCAACCGATTCATTCTCCATATATACATAGTGTATTAAAAAATATTAATTCTATAAAGTTAGCTTGGTGGATAAAAAAGTTTTCTTTTTCCTTTATTAACTTTTTTAATTCAAATCTTGAAACTAGTGTCCATAAAAATATTCACTTGCAGATATCAGATGGAGATGGAAGTGCACTTTTAAAATCATTCCAAGATAGGCTTTAGTCTCTATCTAACCAGAAAAGATAACAATCCAAACAAAGTATTATCAAACATAAATGTTAATAGTAATAGTAATAAGAAGAAACATCGTCTGGCTTAATGCGGTATTGGCTTGGTCTCTATTTTTTCTCTCAGAATAACAACTGTAATTAGGCCGAATATTGTAGTTGAGTGATGTACAAATTAATAAATTAATTAAAACTAAATGGAGCTTATTTTTATACAAAGCAGTTCTTAACTTTAATTAATGTTATAGCAAAGTCCATGTATTTTTATGGCTTGACTGCACTTCCAGCAATTTGGTTGTCTCTAGGCTCATACCGAAGGGCTTGGTGTCAGCCCAACTTCAGCCCTCGTTTTTTTTTTTTTTTTTTTTATGCTTTTAATTTTTTTTCATGATTTTAATTTACTCAAAATATATATATATATTTTTTCTTTATAATCTATGGTTACCTTTTCTCCATAAATTGCTAAACTAGGTTTCTAATGCAACAGCTTTAATTTCACTAAAGATTTATTGAATGATCTTAACAGGAAGACATCGATTTAATGGACTCCCTCGGAGTCAATAGCTACAGGTTCTCAATTTCGTGGTCACGAATTCTACCTAGTAAGCTATTTATGAACTCAGGATATTTTCAACTGGAACTTACATGAATAAAACATAAAGCTGATATGAAAGTTGTTTCAATTTGGATACAGAAGGAAGATTTGGAGGTATTAATCAGGCTGGCATTAGCTACTATAACAAGCTCATCGATTCTCTCCTGCTTAAAGGTTTACTTTCCTTAACCAAAGAAGCCCTTGAGAAATATCATCATAAACTGGAAAATATCTTCAATTTCAAAGTTTATGTTATGCATTTGTTTTTCTCAAACTTGCTTCAGGAATCCAACCATTTGTGACATTAGCACATTATGATGTACCTCTAGAGCTGGAGAAGAGATATGGTGGATTGTTAAGTCCTAAATCCCAGTAAGTACAAGTCTGTGGAGTTTGCTATCTATAAACTAGACATCCAATTATCTAGTTATATATATATATATAGGCTATAAGAATTAGCTGATTCCTTTCTTTCATTTTTCTTAAACAGGGAGGATTTTGGATATTATGCTGACATCTGTTTCAAGAACTTCGGAGATCGAGTAAAGTATTGGACCACCTTCAATGAGCCAAATGTACAAGCCATTAGAGGCTATCGCACGGGTGAATACCCACCAAGTCGCTGCTCCAGTCCTTTCGGAAATTGCAGTCATGGGGATTCAGAGAAGGAGCCCTTTATTGCAGCGCATAATATAATCTTAGCTCATGCAACTGCAGTTGATATTTATAGAACAAAATACCAGGTATTTAAATCATAACAATGTCTTTGATATCATTTATTTACCCTTCATTAGAGGCGTCTAAAAGAAAAGGAAAATGAGGAAAGCAGACACTGATCAGGGCAGATAAACTTACTAGTACTCCCTGTTAAATTATTCAGAAGGAACAAGGAGGCAGCATTGGGATCGTCATAGCTTGCAGTTGGTTTGAACCTATTAGCAATTCCACAGCAGACAAGTTATCCGCTGACAGAGCTCTAGACTTCTACATGAACTGGTTCATTTATTTACCCTTCTAACGTGACTTCAATGCATGTTTAAATGCAATAAATCCATTTGGCATATGACACCCGTTGAATCTTAAATATAATGCAGGTTCTTGGACCCAATCATTTTTGGAAAATATCCTGCAGATATGTCCAGAATTCTAGGGTCTAGTTTACCGAAATTTTCAAGTAAAGACCGACAGAAACTGAAGAATGGACTGGATTTCATTGGCATCAATCATTACACTACTGAATACAGCCAAGACTGCATCTTCTCTATTTGTGAACCCGGAACAGGAGCCTCCAGGACAGAAGGTTTTGCCCGAAAAAGTCAAGAAAAAGATGGAGTTTCCCTCGGCAAACCTGTATGTACCCTCTCAAGTTAACACAATCATCAGAATTAATGTTTGCTTCTCAGGAATTTGCTTATGGTTTTTGATTAATGTAGACTGGAGTGGATTGGCTACATGTATATCCCCAGGGAATGGAGAAGATTGTTACCTATATAAAGGAGAGATACAATAATATACCCATGATCATTACAGAGAACGGTAAGTATCACTAGAATTCCTTCAAGCAGACAAACTTTTTCATGTCTTTCTCATACAATTGCAATGAGTTCTGTAGGGTATGGCCAGCTGGACAATCCGAACCGCTCCATTATTTGTCATGATATAGAAAGAGTGGAATACATGTCTGGCTACTGGGATTACTTGTTGATAGCAATGCAGTAAGTTCATATTGTGTTTGCATTTCGTATTGACTCAACTAGCTATTACCATGGTCATCCATCCCCTTTTCAGATCTAAGTTCAGAGTTTTACAAACACAAAGCATAAACCCTGTTTTCTTTTCCATGTGAGCAGGAAAGGAGCAGATGTGAGGGGCTATTTTGCCTGGTCCTTGCTTGATAATTTTGAGTGGTCATATGGTTATACAGTAAGATTTGGGCTTTACCATGTTGATTACACCACAATGAAGAGAACTCCAAAATTATCAGCAACTTGGTTTAAGGAGTTCATAGCAAGGTATAAGGTAGACAAATCGCAAATGTGAGAAGTGATAAGGACTTCTCCCCTTGAACACAGAAGTGTGCTTTCCTAGGGATATCCCCTCTATATAGCAGTTACAGAGTAGGTAGAAGCAGCAAAGCT